AAGGATCACCATCATCAAAAAGACAAACAACAACAAATGTTGGTAAGGTTGTGGAAAAAGAGGAACCCTCCTACACTGCTGGTGGAAATGTAACTTAATTCAACCATTGTGGAAAGCAGTATGGAGGTTCCTCAAAATGCTCAAAATAGGCTTACCATTTGACCCAGGAATTCCACTTCTAGGAATTTACCCTAAGAATGCAGCACTCCAGTTTGAAAAAGACAGATGCACCCCTATGTTTATTGCTGCACTATTTACAATAGCCATGATACGGAAGCAACTTAAATGTCCATCAATAGATGAATGGATAAAGAAGATGTGGTACATATACACAATGGAATATTACTCAGCCATAAGAAAAAAATATCCTATGACTTGCAACAACATGGATGGAGCTAGAGAGTATTATGTTCAGTGAAATAAGCCAGGCAGAGAAAGACATGTACCAAATGATTTCACTCATATGTGGAGTATAAGAACAAAGGAAAACTGAAGGAACAAAACAGCAGCAGAATCACAGAACCCAAGAATGGACTAACAGTTACCAAAGGGAAGGGGACTGGGGAGGATGGGTGCGAAGGGAGGGATATGGGTGGAGAAAAAGAAAGAGGACATTACGATTAGCATGTATAGTATGGGGGGGGGTGCATACAGAGGGATGTGCAACACAGAGAAGACAAGTAGTGATTTTATAGCATCTTACTACGCTGATGGACAGTGACTGTGAAGGGATATGTGGGGGGGATTGGTGAAGGGGGAGCCTAGTAAACATAATGTTCTTCATGTAATTGTAGATTAATGGCACCAAAATAAAAAAATAAAAAAATAATACATTTTAAAAAAAGGAATTCAGACCCAGAAAAAAAAATACACCTCCTATGACATCTGTAATTCAACAGTTTGTGTGTCTGTCTTGGCATGCCTACTCAACATGTGTGTTCTGTTTGGTGTGGGGGAGACATTTGTGAATGGGCCAAGAAATACGCAAACTCAGTAGTTACGATGATATATTGGCAGATTGAAGCATTTGCAAGACTGTATCTAAATTAGCTATAAATTTCTCTCAAGGACAACAAGGGCTGTGAAGAATTTAAAAAGCAGACGCAGGTAAGGAAGCCCACATGGAATAAGAGCATGTAGAGACGTACAGTCTACACAGCTGCTACACCTCTGCCCTCAGCTTAAAAATCCTTGGTTTTGCTGGAAGAAAGTACAGGCGCTGGGAGCAGAGTTGACTGACTGGGACCTGACTTCTGAAGCTTACACCTAAGTTAGAGGCCAGTGGTTCTGGGAAAGAATGTCCCCTCTGTTCCTTTCTCCCATGTGCCACCTGTCCCTACTTCCCCTGGTTTTCAGCGTCAGACTGTTATTTCCCTGGACTCTAAGAGGCAGAGGCAGGAGAATCAATATTCTGGGAAGGACATTCCAAACACCCAGCCCAGGATCTTCTTTTGATGAATGACGTATTTCAGTGTAGGTTAATTTATGATGTCTTAAGAAACATCCTCCAAATCTCAAGTTACTTAACAATGAAAAGGATTTATCTCTCACTCACCCTGCATGGTGATCAGGAGTGGGGATGCCGCTCACTGCAGTCACTAAACTAGCTGTGTGGCCTCTCTTCACATTGAAAGGGATGGGGAAGTACAACCTACCATGTGCCAGAAGAGGAGAACCAAAAGGCCTGTAACTAGTCCTACTCGCCACTACAAATAGAAACACGGAAATCCAGAGAAATTAAGTGATCCATCTTGACTTATGTGCTCTTTTCTTTCTTTCCCTTTCTCTCTCTTTTCTTTAGGAGATACATGTTTGGGTGGTGGGCCTGGATATAGTAGTATGGCCTCCTCAAGCCTTAAATTCTCAGCACGCTGTCCTCCAAAACCTCAACTCCAAAAGGCCCTATTACAATCATCCACCCACAAAAAGTGATTGAAACGCTGAACAGTCACAATCTTACAAATTTCCAACCTACATTAAGCAGTAGTCACAATAAAAAAGTTAGAATATTACCCATGGCTTCAATTTTTAAAATGGAAGATGGTATGGTCATAAGTGAAAGATATTTTATATGGGGTTCAAGTATGAAACGGCATAAGCAAATGATCCAAGTCATTTACTTGTGACTGGAATTCCTCACCTCCCTAAAAATATTAACCTCAAATTGTTTCCAGATGGCCCTGATAAAATAAATATTTTTTTGTAAATAACATAGCCATAGGAGTATGTTTATAATGAAAACATAAAAATACTCTTACTTGGTTGCAGGATTCAAGACGAGACGTATTCAGACTGATCATAGGGTTAATAATGTTCCCCCAGAGACTGAATTCACTCCCTATACAAAAGCCTACGGATCCGATTTGTCATCAATGTTTACAAGTGCGGTTCAGCACACTCAGTCCTCGGTTTTGGTCGATACGGCCTCATAACGCTGAAAGCACCTGTGTAATTTATCATCAGTCGCTTTTTCTGTATCGTCCTTCAACCTACTTTAAGAGGGCTTTGCCTCAGTGGAGGCACTCTCAGTTCCTTTCATCTCTTACGTAGAATTTAGATGTGCTTAGTTGCCTTTCTCATTAGATGTCAAATTAAAAAAATGACACCAAATAGCCTATTATGCATACTGAGGTACTTTTGCTCTTCAAACTCCATTAAGTTCTTATAAACCTCAATTAAGTAAAAGAACAGCTAATTAGAACAGTCTGTTTTCAATAGACTTAGAACTTTGCAAGGAAGATGATTCTAAGACCTTAGGCCTAACCACTTTTCCCATGTGTGCAAGCCTCAGTATTACTAGACAGTAAATTCACCCTTATTTACTTTAAGTAAATCAAACTTATCCTGCTGTGATTCACCTTTTTACCATAAGGCCTTTGGGAGGTTATTTATTCTGGAAACATCCGCTGTAGCTAGAGAAAATCTAGAGCAGGCAAGAACATGGCTCACATTCATTAAGATTTAAAACTGGATTAAAAGTTGTAAGTGAAATGGCAAGGGGGAAAAAAATCAAAACCATTTTGAAATTTGATACTTCATTTGATTGAAATTTCAAATATTTACCTAATTTTAACAACTGAAAAATTATCAATAATTTTATTAATAATGAAAAATATTAACAGAGATGATCATAGATGCTTAATACATGGTGAAGAAAAAAAAATTTCATACATACATGACAGTATGACTGGGGCCTACACAAGCATGTAAAGTGTGTTAAAAAAACTTCACCTATAAAAAAGCAATCAACGTGTTTTAAGGTAATCTTCTAAGCAAAAATACATATTTCAAATGAAAAAAAGCTGAATTCTACATTTGTATTGTATGATTAATTATATCGCATGCATTTTTTTTTTAAGTGCAGGAGAGGGAGTTAGATTACTGTGGTTAAAGTTTTAGGCTTTCAAGCAAAATTTGACCAAAGTTAAAAAAATCAATGGTTGTTTTGGACTGTTTATTGCTAACTCTCTATTGCCTTCATCTATTCATTCTAAAACACTTACTGAATATCCATATTCTCTGCCCTGGAGCCACAGTAGAGATCAACTGTGAAATGATTGTAGGTAATTTGCTAAAACTTGGGAAATTGCAAACATTTCCTTTATAAAGGATAATCCCAATCACTTTCACACAATTGCAGCCTCAAATACCACCGTGAGTGGGGTATACAACCCCAGTTTATTTAGGCTGCAGGTGGTTTTGAGTTTCTGTTTCTGGAGTTAAAAATGAAACATTTGGCAATTAATCACTCTAAGTGTGTCATATACTTCCCAACTAACAGTATTTGCTTGCTCTGTCAGAATCTGGCATGTCCACTGAAAAGAACGCAACTTTATAATGTAAATGCCTTTCACCACTGCAATTCTTGAGAACAATCAAGAATCCAGCAGCCGGTATTCCACATACACCCTGTGCTTTGCTAAATACTGGATTGCAAGTGTGATTAAAAACCAAACCCAAACAAAATACAGCAAACAAAAAAGTGTGCTGCCCCAACATTCATAGAATTCTGAATCTAGAGGCAGAGAATCAAACCTAATGATAAGACATGAGAAGTATAATAAATGGGGTAAGAGCCACATGTGATGGGAGTCCAGAGGGCAGAATAATTTATCTGTTGGAGATTCAAGTAAAACTCAAAGAAAAGCTGAACTCTGAACTGGGGCATGAATGAACACAGCAATGAGGGTCGAGAGGGAAGTTTTCCATGGTAAGAGAACTGCTTGTGCCAACGCAAAAATCAGGAGGGAATATCCCAGTATTTGGATTTGGAGAACAGGACAATTCCGGTTGGGGTGGACAAGACTGGAACTGAGATCAGGTCGTCAGAGGGGTCTGCAATGCTATGGAGACTTGGAGATGCCCAAATGAAAAAACAGGAGGCTGAAATAATCACATCTGACTTGTGGAAGGAAACTAGTATGGTGGCAGCAGAAGTATTTTTCTTAAGGAGAGAAAGGAAAGGTACATAAGGATAGTGTGGTCTTCTGAATGATAAAAAGTTGTAAAAATGGTCTGGAAAATCGTCACCAAATAAGATATTAAGTAACTGCAGAGAAAAATACATTATCACTTAAACACTGTGTAAATTGATGTCTTTTTTCCTTTCTTTTTTGGGGGGACTGATCCCGTGGCTGTGCATGACTTATTTTTCACAAGGATGCGTCCTTGATTGATGATAACACCACAGGCCCAGCTGGCCAAATCTAAAACAGGAATTGATTATGACACTACTTAAGACTGGTATTTTATCGAACTCTCCAAATTTTAATGTAATGTTAAATGACATGTACAAAAAAAAATTCATACAGCCATAAATATGCCATTTTGTAGAAGATGAGTCTTATACACAATAGAATCTCTCTCAAATATGTTCAAATATAATTCAGCCCAAGAAAATTTCCACTTAAAAAGCTCTAACAGAATGGAGTTCTGTTACCAATGACTTACTTTTAAAATTAAAAGTAATTTTACATTTTATTCACAAAGGCATTATTTACCTGAGAGAAACTGCATGTGGCCCATAGATCTCTCTCACAGCCGACAAATCAGCTTCGAGCTGAGGGTGCTTGTGCAGCTCCCCGTCATAGTTCACCTGATGCAAAGAGACGGTGTGAAGTGACTGAGGGGTGAAGACAAGCAGAAGAACCAAATACAAAGCAGCTCCTGGACAGGTCACCCTGTAGGTTCTGCCATGGTTATCTTCTGCCTTCACTGAAAACTATAGATAATGCAGCAGTAGATTCACTAAAGTTCCTCAGTTCAAATAAATCTAGTGTAATTTATCATGCTTAAAAAGTAAAACTAGATTACTTTGATAGGAAGAAAATGCAAACTTTAAAACAAGTAACATCTAGCAGATGATCTGAAAAACTTTCAGACTGGTGAAAAGCATTTATTTCCCCTCTATAAAAATTAGCTATGTAAACAAAAATCAAAACTGGAAGTTATTTTAAATGATGCCAAAGTGTTACCGTGGTGCAAGAATCATTAGGAAAAGTATTCCCTTGCTAAAAAAGCATTTCTGGAGAGAAGAAACCTACTTTTATTTCCATCTGTACCTCTACTGCCTTGCATATGATTGACTTACAAATTACTGATTTTGATTCTGAATGAATAAACTGACTTGCATTGTTTTATGTAATAACAACTTTGGCTTTAAAGCACTTTTGTAACATATTACTTTCTCATTACACTATCCAAGTTATAAAGCATATTTGATCAAGAAGTTTATAGAAACAGAACAAGACACCGTATATAGCCAAAGCCTAAATCAATTGCTCAGTTTAAAATTGTAATATTATCCTGAAAAAATATAATAAATTCTTTTGTGTATATATACGTATGTACACACACACACATGGCTATGCTCTTTTCATGTGTATAAATTATGATGTTTCTTCACAACAATTTTTAACAAACACTTTACATTAGTATAAGAGGAAAAGGAAGACATCAAATACTAATAAGGATGTGCAATAATTAGGTCTCATCAATTATTATAAAGGTTAATCATATTCTGTTTAGAACTATTAATCCATGCCTTTGTTAGAAGTGTCATCAATTCAGAATATTGACTGAGCACAAGATGCTTAAGAAATGTAAAATTTGAAAGCATAGTTAAATACTGTCTGCAAAATGTGCATAATGAATTAAGACAACTTCAATGTAAATGAATGATTACAGTCAAAGAACTGCAAAAGTAACCTTAATTTCTGAAAATGTGTAGAAAATGAGAAACAGATAAATTATACAGATTTCTTCATTAATTATACAGCCCTGAACAACACACAGGACTCTTAGATCATAAGCACAGACTTCCACTAGGTCATCAATGGCAATTGCTCCCTTTGCAAGTATATATTTGGAGGAACTGATGTGCTTACCTGTCCTCCATAATAAAACTCTTCAGAATCATTATCACCTTCAGAATCTTCTTCCACTGTACTGTTTTGTCTTGACTCCTTAAAACAATAGAAAACAATTTTAATGGTCAAACTAATTGCCAACTTTTGAAAGCAAAGCAGTGAGTGGCTGTAACAGGTAGGTCTTGTGCATATTACCTGTGCTTTATATAAAAACACCCTTGTTGCAGTACCATGGATACTTCTGGTAATAAGAGACGATTTTGTGGATGCAGTAAGCTCTATGTACATCTTTTTTAAGAGTTCTATTTTTTTTATTCTGAGCTGTACAAGTTAATATTTGATGTATATATAAAAAACTATTTATAATCAATTACAACCTTGGTTTTGTTCTGAGAAAGCATCCAACAAGTTCATGCCTATTCAATTTTTTATTGAAAAGTTCCTTAGCATTATTTATCCCAGACTATTCTCACTTCCTCTGCCAACTCTACACAATTGGTATGAAAGGGTTGAATGCAGTAATATAAAAATCCAATTATGAAAATAAATATGAACCCTATTATGAAAAGAACTTTCAGAATATAGAAATTGTTTTAGATTTCAGATTTCAAAAGGACATTTAATTAAATTTGCTTGAACTTCGAAGTCAGAGTTTCTAATTAACTGAACCACCTTCTGTTATGTGTCTGAAGTACAAACAATAAACATTCTTCTGAAGTAACTAATGGGGGTCATTCCTATCTCTGGTCCTGTTAAAATACAGGAGAATGGAATCTTCCTTTAGACACAAGAATCTATTAATCCAGTTTTTTGAATCATCCCTAATTCTAGACCAAATAACAAATTCTTAAGGAAAACAAAAGACCTAGAAAAGGGGATCTGGGTTTAATAAAATGCTAACAATTTTTGGTTTAGCAACAGTATGGCTCAGTGATTCCCAGTGTGGAACAAACGTACACCACCAAGAGGAAGGGAGAGTTATATTCAGTGCATAGTCTTAAAAGTAAAAAATTATTGGTCCCATTGCACTCATTTTGTTTAAAGTCCCAGTATTTATAGATGCAAGTAAATTTTTTAAAGGAGAGGAAAAGGGATGAGTTTGTTCTTATAGTTTTAACATTGGACAACAATAAGACTATACACAATCTCTGTGCTACTTTAGCTAAAGAGATCACCTTTTACAAATGAAACTTTAAGTGTCTCACTAAAATATGTATAGCCACATACAGTTATTATAAGTTACATGTTTCTAGCCAATTACATTTTTTGATGAAAATACAGAGAATAAGTTAGGTTTTATATGCATTTTATTTAGATTTAAACCAGATGTTCTTTCTATTATTTCAAAGGGAGCTCCCTTCTCAAGTTAATTCAGGCCACTACCCCTTCCCAATAAGTCCCTAAGCCATGAGAGCTTAAGTTTCATTCACTATATGCAGTCATAACCTAAATAACTACAAGCTGATAGTAAATTTATAAATTGTAAATCTGACAATAAACTGATTATTAACTATGTGTAGTAAATTTAAAGCATATCTATAATGTTTTGAAGAAATATGAAATATAATTTACATACCTCACCATTTTCCTTCTGCAATTTGGATTTTATAGACAGGCAACAGTTAATGTCATTTGTCTTTCTTAATTCTAAAAGAAAATTGCGTTTAAAAAATCATTTTAGTTCTCAATATACTATTTACCAAACATTCAAAGTTTTCAGTAGAAAAAACATCCCTCATGTGATTTTCTCCTTTGCAGAATTAAGGAATATTTTGAAGTTATATTATGTTGGGGAGTTACACAATACACAAGCTATTCTGATTTTTCATTTCCCATAAAAATATGGTCAAACTAAATGTCAATATACAGATTTCTTCTGCTCTCATTATGCTTCATGGGATCTACATTCATTGCCTTAAGTATGTTTTTAAATATTCATTTTGTCTAGCAGTGTCATGATACATGGAAATATTTTCACAAAAGCAAATTATCAACATAATACATTACAACAGAACTTTTTTAAAGTACTGTAAATTTATGCATTTAAAAAACTGGAAAACAAACTATTGTATTTTAGATATAGAAAATTTGTATGGACAGCCAGACTTACAGATGCTAAAGATAAGTATCTGTTTATAAGGCATAAAAGAAACAAAAAGACAAAGCTACCTATAATCAAGAAAACATAATCTGGAATAAAAAAAAGTGATTATTACCTGTTGCTATTCTATGAAAAATCACTGGAATTGGCTCTGTAGTAACTAATACATCTTCATCATTTTCTGAACTTGACACATATGTATTATCTGCAAAGAAACATGGACAGTTCAAGGAAAAAGTAACTTGAAAAAATACATTCTTTATAAAAAAGAGGTTAGATTCACATCAATTCCAACACCAATTCTGATTAATCTCAGAAAAAGAATTAAATTGTAGATTTATGTGTGAATTAATTGTAAATGGCCTCTTTGAAGATGTCTGCATCTCCTAGAGAAATAGAGACTATCCAAATACATCTATCCAAAATGCATCTCTAATTAACCGTGTGGCAATGCATCCTTTGGGTGCAACTGGGTGAACAGGGATCTTTATCTAGTATCAACATCATGAAGCAGGGTCAGTGAGTGGAGGGAGGGCACTAAGGAAGAACTTTTGGTGCAACAAAAAGAGTCAGTATGTTGTAAATTACACAACCCATATTACTCATACATAGTTTTAAATTAATGTAAAGTCTCACACTGATTCTTCTTCCAAGAATTAGTTTTATCTAAATAACAGTACAGAAGTTGAATGCATAGAACATTAAATTGTTCCACTGATTATTTAAGCTTTTTATTCATTACTTGTTCCCTCTGGGGAAAAAAAATAGTAGTTTTATAAATTTAAGGTTTTTTCCTGACAATTACTAGTATAACACATAGCTGTTTATTCTGCTTTGTTCATTGATGATTACACGGCCATCTGTGAGACAGGTATTTAACAAACACTTCACCAATTCATTAATGACAGTCCTGTAATACACTCATCAGTTGTATAAAATACATAATATAAATACAAAAATAAAAATAAAAACGTAAGACAACAAATAATAGAAGCCTGTACCAATTCTGCTAAGGGAAATGAGTGTTCAGATGTCTGACATGATAAAAGATCTTCAGTCAAGTTTTCATAATATTGTGTCATTAAAGCGAGAATATGATTTTTGACTGATAGGTGTCTAAGTCACTGCTTCCAAAGAAACATCTGTACTGTTTTTTTAGACCCTGAGTACTGAGTCAACAACAGTGGTATGTATTCACAGTGTAGCCACAAGTCTCTGAACAGACATTGGCTTTAACAGTTATTCAAGGTCAGATGGAATGGATGTGGGTTAACTTTGAAACAAAACAGGTTTGCCTCATTTCTTTAATTACAAATTTTGCCCCATTGCATTTCCAAGTAACACCAAGTAAGTTGGGATATTTTTGTGTTTATCAAGTGGATCCACAGTTTAAGAAACAGATTCAATATGAATGTGTTTTAATTACTCTAAACACTCATCACTTTAGCTGAGGCTGGTTCTGTGGAGTCTAGTCAGTCAATAACCTTATACTTGGAGATAAGGATCAAAAACTAAACCCACAACTAAACCCAGTATTTATATTTCTTCAACCCTCATTCAGAGTCATACTGATGCAAAGTCATTTGTTACTGAATCAACTTACGTAGGTTTTCCCCATGCACAATGATTCTTTGAAGCAAACTTAAGGGGAAAAGGAGTATTAAAAGGAAGCATTAAAGCAGCAGCCATAATAGCTGACCACCAACTAGAAGAGAAGATCCAGAAAAATCCATACAGTGGACACAGTATCATACAGTATCTCGGTACCATGGAATGAGGAGGATTTACTAAAGCATCAAGAAGCAAGAAAATTGGGACTTTCTATTTACAGAAACAGGGAAGTGAGTAACTCAAGTTAAAAATGGTTTACGTAAAATGTTGATACTCGAAGGCAGTAAGTTTGTATAATTTGGTGAATAAATGTTGCATAATGTTATAAGACAAGGCTATGCCTTCAAACCTATTATTTTCTATGAGATTTTCTACCAGTTTGTATTTTCATTAGTATTTAGGCATTAGAACCCTTTCAATTTGTTTTTGGCTTGATTTATCCAAACCAAAATGCTTCCAGTTTTCATGACATAACTGATTCAATCATCATTACAATATAATAGGCCAGATCAGAGGTACACCCAAGGCAAGAACAGAAGAACAGAAATGAAGGAGCATAGACAAAGCACATAAAACCAGACCCTGCTACCAACTAGCTGTTGTCTCCTTTAACCTAAGCCATGGTCTGCTTAGTTACAAAATGGAGAAGTTTACTGAGGATCTTTGAGGATCACCCAGCTGTAATGAATGAATTCTACATTCTTTTTGTTTGTTTTGCTTAAACAATTATTTCTAAATCTTCCTCAAACTATTCTGACATCTGTAATAATAACATCACCTTTGCTTAGACATGGGAAAGTAGGATATGAACAGGGTAAGGAATGCATGTAAGGTAACAGAGTAAGTCAGTAAAAGAATAGAGAGTCAAATTCTTTTACTTGAATTCTCCCACTTCACTCTAGAGCTGCCAATTTTTTTTCTTAAAAATTATGGGGACATTTAGGTTCTAAAGCATGTGTGTTTCAGAGGACTGATATATCTTTCTTTGCTAAAGGCACTTAACAGTAGGAATACTTTCTCTTCCCTTCCCTACCAGACTATGCAAGCATTGCTGAAATGTCCATGGCCAACCGAGAGAAGTGGGTGAAGAGCTATGGAAAAGCATCTCTCAAACTATTGCTTTCATTCTATTTCAAATGAACATAATTTAAACCAACTCCTTCCTTTATTCATTATTATGCAACCTAAGAGAAATTATTATAAGAATTATACTGGTTTTATAATATAATCTGGATATTTTCTCTGGATGTTAAATATAATGTCAAAAATGTCAACCCCAGGCTAATCAATTATTATCCTTATTTTAAAGATGAGGAAACTATGGCTCAGAGAGATTATTTTGCCCAAATTAATGAGGTAATTAAAGTAATTACACATAGCTAGTAAGTGTGAAACTGCCTGAATCCAATAATTAGTGATTATGTTTTTTAACATCAAATATTTGTCACTCAACAATTGTGATATCCTGTAAAACATATAAAAGGGATGAGAGAATTCACACCTACCAATAGATAAGCCTCCTAATTAAAGGTAGAAAGTGATGAGAAGGAATTCTGCTGTTCTATTATAGCAGAGTGAATTATCTGTCATTTGTAATATACTTACCTTTAAAAAACAAAAAGTCTGTCTACAGTATAAACTCCATAAAGCAGTACAAGTAAACCAGAAGGCTGCTCTATTTCTTCACTCTATTTTGAAGATCCAACATATCATTTAGTATTTCATTTACATACATGATATTTAATGCATACCTAAAAATAAACACCCTATCAATTTTCATTGACACTAAAACAAACTATGAAATGAGTTGCAATACATGGCCCAGGTTACTTAATAGATTAAAATTTTTAAATGACAAACATGCTCCTAAGGAAATATAGAGGGTGACATGATCCTGAATTTAGAGGATTAAGCTGATAAATTTACAAAGGACAAAGAAAATTCCCTATTTTCAAACTTAGATGATGAGCTGGTCATGGAACCACATCATTCAGATAAAGCAGGGGGGAAAAAGCCTAAGAAACATCAGCATAACAAATTAATAAAACTACTACCAAGATTGCTGCATTTTAAAATGTAAAACAACATAAAAGAGAGCTTTTTGTTTGAAAGGATTTTTAAAATAGGCAAAGTTTTTGGAAGAAAAATCAGAGGAAAAAGACAACAACAAATATAAAACCAATAGAAATGAGAGAAGAGAAAGAGCCATAAAGTCATAGAGACTTTTAGATTTATAGACAACTATAAAAAACTTTTTGCTAAAACAACATGGACATTCCCACCAACATAACAGACCTTCAGGAATGTGTTAAGAAGTATCTAAGAAATAGAAAAACAGAACAGATCAGTTAATCAGGACAGAAAAGCATGACAAGTGCCCCAGAAGCATCCCTAAAAAGATACCAAACTTAGAACTTGCTTGCAAGTTCTATCAAATGCCAGAGAACACTTTAATTCCTTCAGCAGTTTAAAGTATTTAATAACCAAGTGTGGCAAAATGCACACAATTTTTGTAGATCAACGTGAACATATCTAATATAACCAGTCTAAGTGGTCACCTTGTTGTTCAAAGGAGAAAGCACATATGGATGAAACATACTGAGAGACCTCAATGGATGCCAAACAAGATGATAAAGATTTAATACTCATTCTAAAAAAAAAAAAAAAAAGGTTTGGAAGATGAGAAAAGGAATGATACTCCCTTTTCTGAGAACAACTGGAAGCATGCTCAATGAGCTGACAAAGCTGCCAACTTTTATATCGATTATTAAAAATTATTTTGGAAACTCTAGCCAGTGCAAGAGGAGAAAAAACACAGGTAAGAATACCTGAAGGCAAGAGGAAGCATATAATTTTTATATAATACTGTGAGAGCAATCAAACATAGTAACTGAACAAATAACTGTACATTAAGATTTAATAATGGGTAAAATATCATCGTAATAGTCACATTAAAGGAAGTGCCATAAAAATACTATTACTACTTCTTCCCCAGAAGAGACAGGAATCAGAACTGAATTAAAGACTTTGTTTTACCACCAAACTACATGTCTTGGGAAATATTATTTCACCTCTGTTGGCACATTTCTTCAAGTATAAAATGTCGCCATAGCCCCTGTTTCTGTCTATACACAGACTGGCATTTAGAGTCAATAAATTATGTATATGAGAATACTTGCTATGCAGTGTACTGGTTGCATCAACAAATCCAAAATTCTACCGCAGAATGCACTGATCTCTCTCCCCAATCCTTGCTTTTTATTTGCATTACTTTTCTTTCCAGAAATGAAATTTTACTAGAAATTCACCAAAACTTGCTCCAAGAAGGGAATTCAATTTTAAAAAGCACAAATAATAACCCACGCTTTATTTTTAAACTTCAATTTTTGGATTTTGTTTTTCCAAGGGGGTCTCCCGTGCGGCAAGAAAAAAAAACAGAGTAATACCTCTTGGCCACAAGAGGGAGCTAAACTTTTGATTCACTTGGTTCACAGAAGTCATCTACCGTATTTCCTGTGCTACAGAACAATTCACTTACTGTCTTCAAGTCATGCCTCCATTTGTGGCATTATTTCTATCACCTTGACTTAAAGTTCTGCCTCTCTCATGGCTGACACCTCTAGGAGTTGCCTCTGATAAGAAGCACAATAATTATATAATATTTGTAACAAACACTGGGGCTTTCATTTACCTAACATACTCAGCAAACATTCAGCATCAAAACGTACTATGTAAAGGAGAGGTCAAGAGGGCTGACTGCAAGCATCTATGAAAAATTTTTTCTTTATTAATACCTCTTGTCTTGGTTCTTCTAATAAAATCTGCCTAAAATACTTATACTATTATCAAAAAATAGGCATGTCTTTAATAATGCATAACTCCCCTATAAAATTGTACAATAGTTTTGTGGAGTCCTATACTTGGCACAAATATATGGAGATCATAGCAAAAATAATTGTAAGGGGGTTTATGATTTATAAAATTATTTTAAAAATGTAACATTTGATCTTATAAAAAGATTAAATGCATAATGCAAACTGCCACAAGAAATACTTAGTTTAAATGCTAAAGAATTAGGTTTTACAATACCCTCATACCACATTATAAACTTTTTTAAATGCCTAAGGTATATATAATTAAAGTTACTTATAGTAATCTAGTCATTTTGCATAGAAAAATATGATTCTAATTAAGCACAGTGTTTGAATAAAATGGCTACATTTGAATAGCAACTGGAATTATTATGATTCCAATTTATGACCCTCACAGATCACAAGTTAATTTGTTAACTATCTGATTTTATTAAGTAGGAATACTGTAATTAAAAAAATACACAAACACACATATATGAAATACACGCAGTTAAAATTTGCTTTCTTTGCCACAGAATGCAATAAATAGATTCTTGCATTAATTATACTCTTGCAGTATATAGTCTGAGTACACTAAATCAAGCTTTATTTGACCTGCACTAAGTCTACAGTGCTATGCTCCTATCCAAGATGAAATTATAGATATCATTTGTGAGAGAAAATACTAAAAGAAACAATTTGTTTATATCTTCAAATTACCATGACTTAAACGTTGGTATATACATTCTGTGCTCTCATTAGATTATATTGAGTCTAGAAATTCAGACTGACCATGCCCTAGAAGAAAACTACTTGTCTGATTTATAGAAAAATGGATCTGCAGGGATCTTACATTCTGTTTTCTACGGACATGTGTTTGTGGGCCTAGTAATATATTTCAGGACACACAGTAGGGCAGCTATATATATATATGCATGGCACCTAACCCAGTCCAGTGGTACAATCCACAAGCTCTGGACCACTGGGTTCAAAATCCAAGCTCTCCTCTTAAGAGCAGTGTCTTCACTCATCAGTACAATAGGGATATTATGGTAATAATCTCATTGAATTGTTCTGGGAATTGTTTAATTGTGTATATATACTTGAAGAAATGAAGAAAGCCCTATTTTTAGCTATACTATTATTTTTAGCTATAATTTTAGCTGTTCTTTTCACCTATTATTTTTACATTATGAAAAGCCAAATGATGTTCCAAAACCAACAGCTATACCCAGTTGAGAAAATTTTATTATAATTGTAATGAGGTAAATATATAGGCTGAAGTTATCATATGGGCTGAAGTAAACTGCTTTCATTGGGAAACTATTCTGATACTGGACTGTGTCTCAGGTTAAGACATGTACCTAACAGGCAATAAACAGAATTCTTCTCTATCTTTAAGTCTTCCCCTGCCAATGCTTCACCCAAGATATGTTTATATACATTTTACATCTTAGGAACAAAAAAAATATATATTCAAAGGAATCATGACATGAACAACTTGTTAATAAAAAGAAGAAAAGCATACCTGGGTAATCTTCAGATACATGTACTGAATAGGATACACTGTTAAAACAGGAAAAAAGAGAAAATAAAGGCTCAGGTTACTGCTAAGATAGATATGCCTTTACAAAGTAAAAAACAACCCCATGTTACCCATTCCTTGTATACAGATACAAGTATAAGCAGATAACGCCCAAAATGGGTTAGAAAACCTCTCTGATATTTGACCTAGGAAACATACAGATTTTCAGATATATTTTTTATGAGTATAAATGGATCTTTAAATATCCTCCTCCCAATAGTGTTACTTTTATGAGTATGGAAAGGTCTTTTATCTCAGCAATGTCAATATTCCCTAATTTACAATCATTTATGTTATCGGCTTATAGATTTTATCAAATCATCTTTTTTCCCAGAAAATAAAGCATCCCTCCTATTTAGAATGGCAGTCAAGAATTTAAACATTTATTTTTAATATTGCTCCCTATAATATGCTGTCCTTTTGAAACATCCTTTTCTTGCAAAAAGTAAACAAAATGTTAAGTGGAATTACTAGTTATCAGCCAATCTTTCATCCACCTCCTGTTCTCAAAAGGGATGAGTTGTTTCAAAAATCATTTTTACATTCATTTTAACAATTCCACAAATCCTTGTTCAGGAACCCCACTGCCACTGGGAAGTTATCGTGCTGAGTTGTTGTTCACTCTCCTATCTCTAGTCTTGATTGCCAGTCTCTTAAGGTTATGGTCCACGTCTATTTTCACTTTGAGCATAGTCACCTATTTTAGTGCATGACACCCGGCACATATTCAATATTAGCTTTTTGAATGGATCAGTGAAACTGCCACCTGACACACAAAAGTCAAAATTTAGCTCACATTCAGCCAAATTAGCTGCCTGTTAAAACTAAAAAATCAATTCTCTTTGAAGGAGAGCACATGGAACACAGAGTAGAGTCTATGCAAAGCACCATTCACAAAGTGAATCCAAAACAATTCAAATTCCATGACATTTGAAGAAACAGAAAAATCTAACTTATATTCAAGAGACAATTTGACCTAAATGTTGAAATTAGCCCACAATGATGTTAAAACGGTTATTATAAGTATGTAAAGGAAAATTCAATCTGAAAAAGAAACAGACAAAAGCAAATCATCAGGGCCTTGTGGGACACTGGTTAAGAGAGCCAACACTGTATAATTAGAGTTTAAGGAAGTGAAGAAAGAATAACATGGGCAAGAAAAAGAAGCTGAAGGGTGAAAGACACATATGTATAGACTGAAGAAGCTCAGAAAACCCCGAACAGGGTAAGTACAAAATAACTACACCCAGATACACATACTCAAACTGCTGAAAACCAAATATAAGGAAAAAATTTTTAAGACAAAAAAATGACATATTATATACAGGGAATCAATTCTGACCTTTCCTAAGAAACTATGGAAGACAGAGGGCAGTAGAACAGCAGAATGCTTGGAGAAGAGGGGCAGCAGGTAACTGTCAACCCAAAATTCTATATCTCGGCCAATTAGCCACCAAAAATGAAGGAAAATGAAGGTTTCAGATAAAATTGCAGAAATTTGTTTCAGCACACTTAAGTACAAGAGATCCCAAAGTTCTCTAGGCTGAATGTCATTAGAAAGTCAAATATCCCCAGAAGTTGTAAAGATAAAAGTCTATTTTTTTCACAATGTTTTTAAAATACATAACTGTTTTAAGGGAAAAATTCTAACTTATTGTGGGATTTATAACAGATGCAAATGTAATATACATGACAACATTAGCATCATGTCAAGGAAGGGTTAAGGAGTCATACACAATGTCAAGGTCCTCACATCTTATGTGAAATGGTGTATTATTAACTCTAATAATAACTCTAAGGAAAGTTAAGGAAGTATGCTGTAATCCCTACAGCAAGCACAAAAAGAACTTTAAAAACAACAAAGTGGAAATCTAAAATCATTTTGAAACATTTAATCCAAAGAAGACAGGAACAGAGGAAGAAAAAACAGAAGAGACTAATAGAAAACAAATAGTAACTGGTGCTTGGAACTAATCATAGCAAGAATTGTATTAAATGCTAATATACAAAACACACTGAAAAAAAAAGGCAAAGATGGCCAGAATGGATAAAAAAAATCAAAATGCAATTCTATGTTGTTTTGAGAGATCGACATTAAATATAAAGACATAGACAGACTGATGGTAAAGGACGAAAAGATATGCCATGCAAACAGTAGGCATAAGACTGAAGTGTTTATATTAATAACAGATTTTAAGACAAAGATACAAGGAGATAATTCACAGTGATAAAATAATCTAATCGTCAGGATGAAAGCACAACAATCGTAAATGTGTATGCACCTAGTAACAGAGCTTCATAATACATGATGCAAAACCTGACAGAATTAAAAGGAAAAACAGGCAATTCCACAATTCTCCATAGTTAAGTAACTGACACAACCAGCACCCCCTGCCCCCAAAAGCCATTAAAAACATAGAAGATCTGAAATAGATTTTCATAGAAAACTACAATCGCAGATAGCCTTTTCTTTTCAGATACACATGATGGAATATTCACCAATACAGATAATGTGCTAGGCTATAAGACTGTAGTCTCAATAAAACTGAGTGGATGGAAGGTCATGGTACACGACAACTCATATCTTGATTTCCTGGCTCACTTTGCCCTTATGACACTAAGTCTTAAGTCCTCAAAAAACTACTGCCTTTTAAAACTTGTGACTGAACTTTGGACTACATGACTGGGGCTACAGGCAGTGTAACCCTTCCAGTCAAGCCCAAGCCTCTAGGACTCCACCAGTTAAATCCCTGGCATGCTCCTTAGTCCTTGGAAAGAAATTGAGCAGAGACAAGAAAAACTGAGTAAGAAGGTAAGTAGAAAAGGAAAATGATTCCTAATGATACCCAATATTGATATACTGTTCTTTCATAAAGCATATTTAATTGTTTGATTAATTCAAAAAGCATGTCTTGCTAACCTGGCAGAAGCCAAACACTGACTGTATTTATGTCAAACAAGATTTAGGTAGAAGCAAATAAGGAAATGACTTTGAATGATTAATTCAGAGGGAAACAAAGAATATGAAACATGAATATGATAGACAAAGAAACCTGAACATTTTAAAAGCACAATAGCATTTCTTCTTTACTTTTTAGTTTTGAATAATTAGAGGTTCACATGAAGTTCCATAGCCAGAACAGAGAGGTCTCATGTATCCTTCACCCAGTTTCCCCTACTGATTACAACTTAGGTACCTATAGTACAGTATCAAGGAAAGTTTGGGTATTAATTAGTGTAAAATTTGGTTATTAATTTTATGTCATTTTATCATATTTGCATGATGTGCCCACTATTGCAAATCAAATACATAATTATTCGATCACTCAAAGATTTTTGTGCTACCCTCTTTAGAGTCTTATCTATATCAGTACCCCAAAGCCCAAGCAGCCACTAATCAATTCTTCATCTCTATAATTTTGTCATTTGAAGAATACTTTATAAATGGAATAACAGAGTAGGAAGCACCATAGTATTTTAAGGCAGAATTAGTATTTTGAAAAACCACTGTGATTAGCAATAGGATAGAATGAAGAACAGAGAGATCAGATTCAGAAGCTACCATAGTAGTAAAATATAAGCAAATATCAGTGGAGGGGAGAGTATGCAATGGGAAGGGGAATGCAGAAACAAATGGCAGGTGCTGGACCCCAGCCAAGAGCTGAGCTTTGGGAATCATAGCCCTCAATCAAATGCCAAGTTAGAAGATAAATAATCATGCCAGTGGTGCCTCAAACAAGCTGAGGGAAATATACACTATGATCCCATATGAATTTATTTCCCACAATTCATTCCATTATATAATGGAACTATACTATGTAGAAATGAAATTACTGATGGTCAAGGGAACCTTTCATCTGGCAGTACTATGTGACAGAAGCCTGGGACCTTGCCAGAGATTTACTCAGTACTAAGCTAAATTAATTCCCAACAGCTTACCATCTCAACCAGCAGCAGTTGGCTTCATTTTCCATCCAAATCAATGTCTAAATCCAAAATGAAGCCTTAATATATTCCCATGTCTATCTCTTATTAGGGAGTGTGCTGTAGTTAGAGCCAAACAGGTCAATTTCCAGGTTTGAGCATTACTAGTCAAGGGGTATAAGAAGTCATTCCAATACACCCAGCTTGTATCTCTTTTCAGTAAAATGGGAGAATCCAGATCTACCTTACAAGCCTGCTGTGGGGACTTAATGGCCTAACAGGTGGAAGGCCCCCAGAACAATACCATAGCAGCAGATGCCAAGTAATTTTAGTCAGCTTCCAGTACAAGCAATGAAAATTGACAGAAGTAAAGTTTTACATCAATGAATGTCCTCTGGGGAATTCAATTGCTCAAAATCACAATATATTACATTTTAACAGAGACCAAAGTTGACATTGATGATTTTATTTCATGACTGTATTAGCCTCATGATATTAGGAGACATTTCCATGTTCAAGACCAAACCTAATTTTTCAAAGACAAAATAGAAAGTAAAAGCCCTACAAAATGATTCATCAGCTCCTGTGCTGTAGCATCTCCTTGGTAGTACACCAGAAGGAAAATCACCAGGGCTGTAAAATCTGAATCAGTTTCACTCTGTGGCTTACAGAGTTCTTTGGGAAACAATCCAGTAGAAGCGGACATGGATGATTAAGCTCAAGGATCTAACAGGTAAGGCCAAAAAAGGGGCAGAGAACCAAGCTTAAGTAGCTATGAGTAAGGGTAGCATGTGCTGAATATAATAACTACTAATGCAGGCAAAAATAATTGTTAAGTAAGATGAACACAAGAAGGAAGAAAAACATGGAGTAAGCTCTGAATTCTGATTCAAGAAAAAATGCCTTGGAATATTTGAATAAGCTCAATTATAATTACATTGAGTTGCTTTGCCAGAGTAATTCAGGTCAGTCAATATGTGTTTGTTTATGAACTATAAGTAAGGCACAGCACTAGGTTCTTCATATTGTAAGATTAAAAGTAGAACCTATAAATTAT